GTAAAAGAATGTTTGAGATTCTTAACGAAGGACATAAAGAAAAGGTATGCTTACTCGGGAAACCGTTATATGGACTGAAACAGGCGGATAGAGCATGGTACGATAAATTAGATAATTTCTTATTGAACACTGGTATGAGAAAGTCAGATGAGATACACGTCAACGATCTTTGGGAAAAATTTGGCATGGGGAAGGCGAAACCGATGGTGATTCCAATGGAAGCAAATGCTAAGTTGATTAACCGTTTGACTATGTCACGAGCCTTTACTGTTTCCCTGCCCAAGAGTGCCAAGCAGCGATTTTGCGCTTGTTTTATTCCCCGATCAAAAATGCCAAGGAGTGCTATTGCGCGGTTTTCTGCTTATATGCGATAAATTCTAATTCTTCCAATTCGGTGTTGTTCTGACATCCCTCTGAGCATAAGTAGTCATATTCGTTGTTTATAAGAATAAAAAGGTGTACACCTACAAAGTGTAATATTACTGCAATTTTATTTTAATTTACCTAAAACGTAACGGTAGCCGTAAAGTGGCGCATCGACAGAAACCAAGCGTGTCGCGATTGTAGGCTCCGCAGCCTAGAGCGCTAACACTTTCCGAGCGAAATAGAAGAAGCGCAAAATCGCTGCTTGGCACTCAATGGTTAACCCTTTCGCTACTACGGGTCACTGTAGTCACCGGCCACGAGGCGCCATCTACACACGATGGGTGACTATAGTCACCGGCCACGAGGCGCCATCTACACACGACTGGTGACTATATCACAGGCCACGAGGCGCCATCTACACACGATTGGTGACTATATCACAGGCCACAAAAATTTAATAAAAAATTAAGACAAGTGCTACCGTTCCTCTCAGCTCTCTTCGCAAAGAATTGCAGGTTCTATTGCGATGGTTAGTTTTTCCTTTTCTTTTTTTCTTCGAAAGATTTACGACAAAAGACCGAATGCTGAAAATTGCACTATCGTAATGCTACAATCTTTGAAACGTCGCTTCGTTCCACGGGAGAGACTTCGCGGAGACGCTCGCCGTAGCGAAAGAGTTAACCCTTTCACAACGAAAGGCGTAAATATATGCCCTCTGCATTTTTGTCCTATAACACTCCCTATTTTACCGATTTGATTCAACATGGAATTTACAATCCTATGGAATATAGCAACTAAACTATCGGAAATTGTTTCAAAGTATTTTCCAGTAAATTGTTATAATACTTGTTGTAATATTGCAGTTACAAGGTGCGAAAAATATTCGGCGTAATACACGTTCCTTGGTGAATATACACGCAATGAACAATATCAATTCCAACAGTTTTTACGGAGGTCAGAGATATACTTCTAACCTATAGCGGAGTAATTCTCGGATGTTACTTTCTGATTTACACAGATTTTTCCTGGCTACTTTCTATGTCTTCGAATAGCTTAAAAAGGTACTTGAAATAAATAAGAAATGGATATTTCTAATTTATATGCAATTACTGTTTTTTAAATCCTAAGGACGGTATCAAATCTGCGCAGCGCAGCCACTGACGTTTGAATAACGCGCCATCCCTGTTGATGGATTACTCCGAGATTGCGCCGCAGTGAAAGGGTTAAGGAAGATGGACCTAAGTCTGAGCAAGAAGATACAACGAAGAATGTGCCGTATCGTGAACTCGTTGGATATTTGATTTATTTGACAAATGCAATTCGTCCTGACTTAGCATTTGTAAAATGCCAGACAGACACAGAATAGGGAAGACAGAAGTTGAAGCGTATCAATGATTCTTGATATACGCTTCAGCCAAGGATTATCATATCAAATACAGGTAACCCTCCTATAACACGGCATCCTATAATACGGCATCCTATAACACGATTCATGAATTGCAGGAACCTTCCTATAACACGGCATCCTATACGTGTTGCAAGAAGATATGGCCCTCTTCGGTTGAAATAGAAAACGTGCGTGAATTGTCAGAAAATGAAATTGGTGGCATATTAGAATTCGCTAAATCAATTAGAGGTGCAGGTTTTGTGGATATGGCTATTTAGGACGTTCAAGATTTATTAGTGGAGGAAGAAGTTGACGAAGCGGATTTAATGGAAATGGCATCTGAAGCTGTAAATCAAATCGATTCTGAGGACACTGGCACTGATGAAGATTGTGCAGTTAATAATTTAACATTAAAAAAATTACAAGAAGACCTAAGCTAAGTTGAAAATCTCGAGTCATTTTTCTTGAATGCAGACCCTTCCACTGAAAGAAGTGGAAAATTCAAAAGGAAACTGCAAAACTGTTTAGCTCCATACCGAGAAATTTACAATGACCAAGAACCAGCAAGCAAAGTGAAATTACAGATCTTTTTAAGAAGCAAGAAGATGCAAGAACTTTAAATAAAGAAAAAAGTTCTGAAAGCGAAGGTGATATCATTCCACCGAAAAAAACGTTCTTGGTTGATTATATTGAGCAGTGACGACGAAGAAATTTATTAAATTAAAGTTGCGTTAAATTAAAATAACATTTTTGTTCCTAAGTTCTGAAAGCGAAGGTGATATCATTCCACCGAAAAAAACGTTCTTGGTTGATTATATTGAGTAGTGACGACGAAGAAATTTATTAAATTAAAGTTGCGTTCAATTAAAATAACATTTTTGTTCCATTCTGTTTTGTGTTGTACATACATTTATATTTTTAATAAAAATTAAGTTGTTTATGTAGAATTAAAAAAAAATTTGTTTTTAATAAGTTTTCGGAACGTAACCCTCCTTTTTGTACTGGCTTTGGGTCTCATACAACACGGTTTCATACAACACGGCATTTTCTAGGAACTTATCTACCGTGTTATAGGAGGGTTACCTGTACTGTAAAAACGTTGTCTAAAACATTTTTTACTTGCACTGCCGGAAACGCCTAAAAAATGTTGACAAAACTCAACACGTATACCCTGTGTATGTATATTTTCATACCCAAAAAAATTTGTATACCTTCGCACTTGAGGTCACACGAAGGTCATGACGTTTAGGTCATTGGATTTGTCTTAACCTCAGCTACTATGATGTATAAGAAAAATATGCAATCCCATTTAATTGATGACCTTAAAATCACAGAAAATATGACTGAAATATATATATATAATTTAATAATTTTTAAATATATAGCTTCATACATACACGTGGTGACCAAAAATAAGTGGTACAAATAGATTTTGGAAGATTCTATGACTCGAAAGAAGGCAAAAATCAGATAAAATTGCATTTTGGATTTCGTTCCTGACAAAAACGCAAACATTAGTCGAGTGTGCATGCACCTAACTAACAAGTGAAATTGGTAATGCCCATCATCGTTGAAGTACACGCATTCTCGACTGATTTTTGAATACATTTTTCTCGAAAGCGAAAGCCTCGAAGTAATACTGGACTTTTTGATTTTCGTCTTATTTTGAACCATAGAATCTCCCTGATTCTATTTGTATTACTAATTTTGGATCATCCTGCATATTCATGCAAATGTTCTTATCGTATCATGTTAAATCATAAACATACTCACGCTCTGCTCAGAAATAAATGCTAATTTACACCTATTAATTTTATAATATTAGGATATTAGCAAAGCAGTTCTTCCTATGAAAATAAAGATATTGTACAGTAATATTTCTTTTTTTATTTTTCCTTTTTTCTTTTTTTTTTAATTTTAAAGTATTAAGAACACAATAGCATTAAACAAACGAAAAAGACTAACTACTAAGCTTACTATGTTATACAGGCTACAATCGAAATAATAGATTAATCTTTAAAGAGTTTAGTTATGTTATACATCAAAAAGAGATGTCTAGAAATAGAAAATTTTTGCTTTCTAAAGTAAGTATTGCGACATCCCTGATTACTATTACGTGTATGTGTGTGCATGGCAGCTCGCGAATTTCTCCGAGCATGATCTTTCTTCATGCTCGAAATTTGCGATGTAAGCACGTGTATGTAAGCGATAACGTGTGAAGAATATATTTGTAAATCAAAACTTCAAGTCCAAACACATACAGTACTGGTTAATGTTACGTTTTTATTGGACCTTTCTTATTCTGTTGCATAAGTATAACATATTTTTAAAGATTGTTTACTCGTTTCAGTTATGCCCTATATGAAAAATGCATCTCTCGGTATCCGCTTTAAAGCAAGCTACAGAAGTCACGTGAATTTAACTGGGCTTCAAAAACCCGTGAGTTTTCCACGAAACCCTTTTCATTCTACAGGGAAATATAATTTATTATTATTTTTTTTTTTTTTTTTAAACAAAAAAGATTCTATTGCAACTAATTGTCAGACCAAAAGTCAATATCCAGAATAAAGCTTAAAGTGTTTATCTACATATTTTGCAGAAATGAAAAATTGAATGCAGAGATAAGATGATTCTATATATGCGAATTTGCTTTTTTCGTAATGAATAAAAAATGTTTATCTATTGAAATGAATGACAGTTTTACTATTATGATTTCGAGTTCCGATGTAAATTGTATCAGTTTCAGGGTTTTAGTAATGCAAAAATTCAAGTTTTTATGGAATTTCGGTAATTACATCAGCAATTTACAAAATTTTATAAAATTTGCAATTTTATTAACAAGTAGCACGAAATACAATCCTACGTTTGCTTAAAATTGTCTTAGTTCGAAATTTCGTTTCATTATTAAGTTACTCGTTCGATTTTAATTTAACTAAATAACCTAGAACTTTTGGAGTCTGTTATTAAAAAGATTCAGAATATAAATTTATGTTAGCGACAAAAGATTCATAATAGCGTAGAAGTTTGTGCGAGCTGCACGACAATTATATTATGAATCGAAGCAATATTTTATAGAATTAATACGTTGTTTATGTTGCATACTTTTTCAACAGTTTGCTTCGCTAGAAGCCTGGAAATAAGAGAACAAAAAGGCAAAAAGGGAAATACGTAAATAGAGCTAAAAACTGAATAAGAAAAGTGGTGACCTGGTGGATAACGTGCATTAATATTTATGTACTCGAAATACCAGTTGTGTAAATAACTCTTTCAGCACCGCTGTTCAAATTTGTATTCTCATCGACGGTAGTGGATGGAGGAGGCATGGCGAAAATGGACTGCTGGTTCGTTGAATTGTTTTGCGGAGCACCCTGTGGTTGTGATGTAATCGCATCATCGTCACTCTCTTCTTCCTGTTAAACAAAAATTCATAGTGTTTATTCTTAGTATTTATTTTTATAACGGTCAGTAATACTCGACGGCTGATAAATATATAGGGTGTCCCAGGTATCCACCTGAAAATTTATTTTCTTCCTCCTATTTAAAATAAGAAGAAAAAGGGCATAATATGATTAACACGTAACATGACAATTATATCAGTTTTGATTTTTCAAATGTTATAACCAGTTTTCTTATGTCTCTGTATACTACTTCTAAGCATAAAAAGTAATACAATACATTTATCCTAAGACTAAGCATTTACGGGACAATTGATTTTGTTCATCCTATTATTTACCTTCATTATACAACATGCTCGATACATGTATCAGATGTATAATGAGCAAGTTAAAGATAATAAATATCATGGAGTAACGCTATTGAACTTTCGACATTTCTAATAAACATAAAGTAATCAACGTGAATTATTCATTTGAAGTTAAATATTTGAGGAATATTGAGCTTTATGATAAATGTGCCTTAGTATCTATATGCTTAGAATTTGCTGTAATTGCTTAGATTTTATACGAAAAATTTAACAATCCCTTTAAAACGATAAAATTGTGCTGTCAACAAATTATTACTGTATTATGTTTTTCCTTTAATCCTACGCTTTTTATGAAAGATATATTTATTTGTTATTTGAAATAATAAAGATATTTCAGATAGATGAAGTTGGTGTCCCATCGAGAATACACTAGATTCGAAGGAATTTCATCCTTATGGATCAAAAAAATATATTGTGAGTGTAACGTATACATATTCAATACGTACATATTACTACAATATATTTCATGTATCATATCACATAATATATAATAACGATATCAGGTATATCGTATATATTCTACTTTTTAAAATATTATCATTAATGTAATTAGCGATCTGATATTTATATGACATTTATATTAAAATAGAAATATATAGAAATGCAAAAAATTATGGATTTATATCGATTTATATTAGTTCATGGCACAAATGGAAAAAAAGTGATTCTTCATACAAGATATGTTAAATAAAAATGAACAAAATATTCTCATGCCTGACTTTGTTTCTGAGAAAATTAACAAATATTATGTTATAATTGTCAGTGTAATATCGTATGCAGAAATATACATTAAGAATTAAACAAGGATGATTTTCTAATGTTCAAAGTGTTCCTGTTTTTCCAATATGTCAAAATATAATAAATAAAAATAATTCTTAAAGTCTTTTCTGTAAACAATATTCATAATATACTTTCGTGAATAAAAACTAATGGATTGTATGTAAAAATGTATTTTATAAACGGTAACAATTATTCTTAGACAATCTTAAATACAAGCATAATAAAAATATTAATGAGTTTGATATGAAATATTAACGATATTCTATCACTGAAGTATCTTGATTTTCATAATTTTTTTCTTTTATTCTTTTATTCTGATATTGCTTCCAAAATATTAAAAATCTTTTTCAATTAATTCAGAAAAATTGATATTTCGTCATACGTTCTTGTATCCTGGAGATACCTTAAATCAATTTTCGAAATTTCGTAATTTTCGAAATTTCGTAAAAAAGAGTTGTATTCCCTTTGTTTAATTTAGGACTGTATAAAGAATTACTTTCCCCTCGATTGCACTGCTTGTGTCTCATTTTATAGATAAAGTAATTTACGTAATGTACTAAACTTAATTATTTAAAAAGTTATTAAAACAACAATGATATGGAACCTATTTCCAACAAATCTTACTATAATTTTTATTCTTGGGTTCTCCTTTATTTTGTTAATATCATGAAATGTAAAAGCATACTTTACATACTTATTACTATTTTTGAAATAACTACAGAGTAACAAAGTACACTGTACTTACAAAATTATTAAGCAATCTGAAACATATAAATTGTTTATGACGAAAGGAATACAGAATTTCTATACCATTTTAAAATCTGAAACTTCATACACATAACACATAATCAACATAATTTCAATGTTTATTGCTCGAATATTTTTATACTCGAGATAAATGCAATACATAATAATATTAAGATGCGCACAAATATTGTAAATAGCATATTTCAACAGAAAATATTGTATAAAATGTTTCACAAAAATCAACAGATTATAACATACTTACCAATGGATTTTAGGTCACAAAATCATATATCGTGACTCTATTTGTAAAAATGTTACAACGAAAGTAAGATAATACAGATTGATCCTTTTCGTTTTCTATTTTCTGTTTGCGTGTGTAAAAAGACATTTGGCTAAACGTTGAAAATTAATCCAAATTCATGATATCGATAGAAATTGGTATATATTATTTTTAAATTGATCATCTTTAAATTATATAATTTTTAAATTAAATAAGCATAACTATTATAATTATTATATTATTTGTAAATTAGTTCAGAAGAAAATACGATTAATATCAAATATTTCCATGTATGATAAGTTAAAACTGGACCTTCAACACCTACCCTGACTTTTCCTGTCCTTTCTAGCTTTGATATCTAAGAAAAGATTCCTAAAATACAATTATCGTCTCAAAAATTTGTTATGTCTATCACTAAAATCCACAAAAATATTGATATTTTTTTGTAAAAAAATACCTTCCTGCGAATTTTTTTAATCTCTGGCATTTGATTTAAGCAATACTCTATAGCAATGATTTTTAATCAGTATACCGAACATAGTTTTAAGACATACGATACTGTGGGATGGCGAGCGATGAAGGACACTAACAAAGTATTAACCCTTTCGGTACGGAGGAGCTGGCCGCGGTTATACATTTGTGGTACGAGAAAATTTTCCACAAGAGTGGTTGCACTGGAAGCCGCGAAAACGTGTTTTGCGGTATTCATAGAAATTTCGAGCGTGATTGACACTAAACTTTTCATTCGGATCGCGACAGTCATCTGTGACGTTTCGCGGATGCCGCCAATAGGCGACGGTAGTACCCAGAGAACGTGTCATGGCCGCCGCCAATGGTAGTAGTACCGAAAGGGTTAAGAGTAGTAGTGGGGCGAATGGGTGTACGGTCTTACTTCTGAGGAAGCGCATGGAATCGTTTGGGCGGCTTTCCAAAAGGCGAGGGTTGGCGAACGGCGGCATCGGGTCCAACTTGGGCGTTTAGGGCGAAAGAACAAACGGTAGCGCCAAATCCTTTTGTCGGGATGTCTGTGACTATGTCGAATGATTGAAAAAAAAAGTCTGTGTATGAAAAGAAGAAGTTTTGGCTTTAAGTAAGGATGCAAGGGCGTGAGGCAGTCAGAAGTAGGCAGAGTTGAGAAGAAGGTAGAGAACGCAGAAGGCAGAGTTGAATTGAGAGTAGCCAGAGTAGAGAGAAGTCAGAAGGCAGACGGCTGAATGTGTGTGCTAGAGACGTAGTGAATAAAGGATCGAGTGAGGAACTTAGTGTAATGTAAAATATTTTAGTTAAATAAAACCTGTTTTGTTACAAAAAGAGAGCTGTTATTCATTAGACGCGCAGAACTCTGTCTGTATAGGATTAATTTAGCCAAAAATTCTACAATACCTAACTATTTAATGAAAGCATTGATCTATTTATTCTGTGATTGTTAAGTAAAAAAGTAATACTTAACATAATAATAGTCAACCAGTATGAAGTCTTGTCTTGAACCATGAACATAAAGTTTATGTAGTAAATTGCTATGTTTTTGGTTTGTATACGGAGTATCTCAACAACGATAGTACAACCAGGAAGGGGGTGATTCTACATGAAAAAACAAATTAGAAATAAAGAATAAAATTTTTTCATTCGAAGCTTCATTGTCGAGAAAGTCTACTTCGAATATCTACCGTGTACACTGGTATACTGATGGTCCATCCCTCCGAGCCAAAGTTAAGTGCACGAGTTTTCGATAAATATTCAAAATCCATTTTCTCGACAAGAAATCTTCAAATGAAAAAATTGTATTCTTTATTTTCGATTTGTTTTTTCACGTAGAATCACCCATTTCCCGGTAGCACTATTGTTGCTGGGATACTCTGTACATAAATTATGATGTAATAATATAGAGTATTAATATATAAATTACACCCAATTCTGTTTTTACACGATTTTGATTTAACACGAATTAGGCGAAAATTTAATTCTCTTTTTACACGACTTATTTTGATTTAACACGATCGACCCAAATTCTAAGAAGAAAATTTTGCTTTACTTTTATTTTTATAACTGCGACATTGGAGGCGAGGAATTAATTTTGCGTGAAAGTCAATAAATGGTAAGTTACAGTTTTAAAACCTTTGTTTTATTAACCCCTTAGCCTACAATATGTGACAATATAATTAAAATATAAGTGACAACGAATAAAATCTTTTTACGTGTAACTCATATTATCTTACCTAATTTTTGTGTTCATGAATTAGTGATATGTTTTTTTCCTTTTCAAATGATAATTTACTTTGTATGATACATGTGCAATCTTTATGAAATAAAATGTTTAAGATCCTAACACGAAAACTCATGATTTATTGTATTATTTTAGCTGATTTCTTGGGACTGGAATCAATCTTCTATTTTTCCATAAATGCAACATATTTTTTTACACGTATTCTTCGGGAACGTATCTATCGTGTAAAAACAGAATTAGGTGTATATGTACATATGTATATTGCTTCTTGAGGGAGGGAGGTGCTGCAGAATATTAGTAATTAATTACAAATTTACAGAAAAAGAAAGTCACTTTAGCATAAGATAGAATATAGTGTCAGCATAAACTCAATCTTCTAATCTGTACTGTATAACACACATCAAGGTTCAACTTAAGAGAACTCCTTTTCATATTTCATCAACTCTACAGTCATAATAACTTCATAATGTTTAATATAAATATAACAAAATTTGAAAGATGTACATATATGCAGAATATCTCAGACAGTTGCTGCGAATCTTTGGAGGCATGTACCATTCAAGAAACATCAAAACAAGTAAGAGGCCTTAATAAACATAAATCCAAATGATATTAG